AGGACTTGATAGCTAACGTGTCTAATGTTTGAAGTCGAACAATGCCCTTAACTTTGAGAAAAAATTGAGAAATTTCCTTACACTTTGTCGAAATTTCTTCAGCGTTCTTATTAAACACACATTGATTGCCGAGTTTTTTAATTGAAATGACTGTATTGATATCAGATCTACCTTCTGGGTGAGTTTTGCGACTGCTATGGCTTTGTGCGTACCCATGGCTGGCATTCGAGAATGCACCTTCTAGACGCACTCATTGAGATCATTTTGGATACCCAAATGAAGCTGCTACATGAGACTTTCTTTCACACTTCATAAAGATTGTGAGTATTTGCAGAGATTTAATCCAATATACTCGCCTTGTTTCAGGAGTCAGTGTATGGTTGTTGGATTCCTGTTTCTACAGCCTGGTGAAGTGAAATTGCAACAGGCTGTGAAACCCATTGTCTGTAGAGCTTTACTTTTAACAAACAAATAAAACTCTCGCCTGAGACCTCCGTAATACTCCCCATAACTTAGTCTTATAATGAATCGAGTCTCATAAACATCAGTTGTCATGGCTTTGGATCATAGCCTACTATCCAATTACTGCAACCCGTATCCAGAGGATGTTTTTTGCAAATTGAGGGTTTTTCTGACAAGTTAACCCTTATTTTTTAGCCGACCAACACTAAAATATGAATTTGTGCCACCTTAAGAAGGGCGAGTCTTAACTGGTTTCTTTTAACGGATTGTAAATGACAAATCTAGTGTTGCCTACTTCGTTACGAAGCAACAAATTGTAAGTTATCGTTTTAGACAGCAGCAAAATATGCCAAATCTCTCTGCAAGGGGATTCCTCATCATTGCTACACCTGTCTTCCACCGACAAACGTTGGTATCCGTTCTTCGATGGACATCGTTAGCTGTGATTTTCCTTCCTGCACACTATGAAGATACCTTTTAGGAGAGGTGCTGACACGCAATGATTAATGACGAGCTGCAATTCCCCTGCGTACTTTTCTCTTCTTTCTTCCGATCTGACCAATGCGGTGCAGAACGAGCAATTTCTGTTTACTTGTTAGTCGTCAGCCAAGACCTCACAGCCTGGGTTCGCGTATTTGCAGGTATCGCAATGCTATCTCATTACATTAACAAAGAGGCAAAAAACGTAGAAGTTTTCTTTGAACATCTCGGATTCTGGTGACTATGGTAGGAAAGGGATAGTGTGGCGGACCCCATAAATAACGACAGCTATAAATCTTACCCATTATTTTTATTTGTCTTGCTCATGCTCTAATTAAAGGGGGAAAATACCTATATTAAATTGGAAAAAGTGAGTTGCAATAATCTCTTAAGAGGAAAATAATTCTCTATTTTAGGGCAGCCAACAAAATCTCACCAACTGAGTATGACCTGGTGAAGGTTTTTTGACCAGCATTTTACTTCACAGGTTCTTACGTCTAACCTGGAGAAATGGCCACTGCTGCTACATAATACAATTGAGTAGACAAGTAGCATTGCAAAACCGTTTTTGCATTAGCTTTGACAGTAGTCTCTTGATGAATGGCATGTAGCCGCTGATGGCGGATAGGGAACAAAGTAGTCTAAGCTGAATTCACTGCTTCAAAAAACACCCCACTGATACTCTCTTACAAAAAAAACACATTTTAATTATCTCTTCATGCATACCACTTTATATGCTCTTAGAAGCACGTCCTATGACAATTTTTCTCCACCGTTACTGCATAGTTGACAAAAAGGGGCGATGGTCTCTTATTTTATTTGCACATATTGATGCAGCTTGTGCGAAACCGGAGACAAGTTCTTTAAAATTCCCCACCACCTTGCATCGTAGCAAAGTATTGCCTGATTCAGTGAGTCAGCACCAACTAATTTACAAGAAAAGAAGGCCAATTCAAATTGCCTTTTACACGGTTGAGGCTTACGCAATCGGGAACAGTTCTTTCAACTATTGCTCGACAGGTACAGGCATAAAAGCTCTTTTAGATGAGGTCTCTAATTAGAGGGACAGGAATGTACTTTTCTTACATGTAGGTCTTCACATACAATCACCTCCCCAGCAAATCTCTTCTGTCCCTCCTTCTCACCATACACCGACCGTCCTCACCAAGGCTTTATACCAAAATTGATGACATCCAGCCTTGACTTTGGAATCCGACGTTGCTTATTCGTAATTAAAGCAGTCTTAACAATGAGCATTTTTATTCCTGATTAGGAATTCAGAAAACAAAACCTCACCCACTACCATCTCTCAGCACCCGTAATATGGCAAGTTGAGTGGTTGGGAATTTAGGAAAGCAGATCTGTTCAAACACCTTATAAATGCATCAGAAAAGTAGAACTATCATGAAAGCTACCATAAATGCAAAGTCAGCGGCCTCTGAAATCAGTTCTAGAATAATCAACTGTGAGGCCAGTAATGAAGTGTCCATCCCTTTAACATCAAGATAATCGTAAAATCTACACAGTGAGTCAATTTTGGCTGAGAAATTGGTTTATCTTACACACATTTATGCGAACACTTCGTCTCATTCAACATGAAACAGTGATTCCTGATTACCTATTTGTTACTAAAGCCACTTAAAGTTTTTAAAAGAATTGTAAAAAACTAATGGCTGTCCTTCTTCTCTTATTCTTGGTATTTTTCAGTACACTCACCTTAGAGATACTTATAAATCGAAAAAAGAAAGGATTTTTTCTAGAAATGGCTGTTTAAAGAGTGGATAATCAGACCCCTTGAGGCCAGTTTTGCAAAGGTCCATTAATTTGGTCAATGAAACTACTGCCACAAAGGAATGTTAAGCAAAAGTCACCAATGGATTTGTAATGAGGTAAGGCAAGAATAAACGAGGAAAATAGGCAGTATTGACGGAGGCGAGATAGAGGCGAGAATAGGGAAGAGGTAAAAGACTTCCACCCCTGATTTCAAGGGTCTACTTATTAGTAATATGTGGTGAAGGAGGACGTTAGACTTGAGAACTATTTAATCACACTTTGGTTTCCCTCTTCAAGGGCTAGGCTCAGCATGGATTCGAGTGTAACGCAGTAGAGCTATTGCTGCACACATTACCTCATCTGTAGACATGATGCTTTTGACTGTTGGCCAACGTGCAGCAAACATAATTTAGCTGCTTTTTCCATACTTCGTCCCAAAATGTCAAATGAGGGATTGGTCAATGTATCGTACAATAGGAATGTCAACTCTAATTTTCAGGGGCAAATAAGTGATGATCTAGACTGGGCAGATGGTCCTCTTTCTGCAAATACATTCCACATTCTGTGCGGACTTGCTGGCACCTAGATTCTGCGCAGAATTAACATAAAACCATCCAGCCGAGATATTTGGGAGAATAACTATTTAAATGGTCACTTTTCATAGGTCATTTGGTAAGTTAATATATTCTCATTGATTAAGTTGATCGACATGGATATGTAAAGTTACTCTTCAGCGTCGCCTTTCTGCAATAGATTATAACAAATTTTAAACATTAGAACAGTGCCAGAAATGAATAAATAATAGAGTACAGTTACTGATGGATTCCTAAATGTTCAGCACTTGGGTCTCACTCAAG